TGTACAGCAAAGTGAATCAGTTATACACACATGTATCTACTCCTTTTTAGATTCTTTTCCCATATAGGCCATTAAGAGTATTGAATAGGGTTCCCTGTGCTGTACAGTAGGTCCTTATTAGTTATCTATTTTATACATAGTAGTGTGTATATGTCAATCCCAATCTCCCAATTTTTCCCTCCCCCCCTTATCCCCCTGCTAAACATAAGTTTGTTTTCTACATCTGTGACTCTATTTCTGTTTTGTAAATTTGTTCATTTGTACCATTTTTTTTATTCCACATATAAGTGATATCATATGATATTTGTTTTTCTCTCTCTGACTTCACTCAGTATGATAATCTCTAGGTCCATCCACGTTGTTGCAAATGACATTATATTGTTCTTTTTTATGGCTGAGTAATATTTCATTGTATATGTGTACCACATCTTCTTTATCCATGCCTCTGTCGAATTTCTGTTGTTTTAAGCTGACAAGTTCATGGTCATTTGTTACAGCAGCCGCATTCTGTTGCCTCTCATCCCCTTCTTGCCCCGACCCTGGCCCCATCCTCCCACCCCAGCCATCTCAGCCCCCTCCCAGGTCTCCCGCCTCCTACCCTGTCCCCACAGTCTGGTCCACACTTGCAGCCATGAGGATCTTTCTAAAAACAGAAGGAGATGGGGACTTCCCTGGTGGTTCAGTGGTTAAGAATCTGTCTTCCAATGCAGGGGACGTAGGTTCGATCCCTGGTCCCACATGCCCACGTGCCACACCTAGAGAGAAGCCCGCGTACCACATGCTGCAACGAAGATCCCGTGTGCTGCCACTAAGACCCAACGCAGCCAAATAAATAAATATTAAAAAAAAAAAACAGGAGGAGATCATGCTGAAAACGATCCACTGTCTCCCCCCTACCCTCAGAATCAAACCCAAACTCCTTACCCTGGGTTTTATGGTCCTACCTGACATGGTCTCACCTTATCCCCGGTCTCAGGATTGTTGCGAGGGTCACGTGAGTGTACACGTTAGCGCAGTGCCCAGCAGAGGTAAGAGTGCCCATCAGGGCAGCACAGAGGGTGCTTTGGGTCAGCAAACCTGAGTCCAAGTCCAGACTTCGTGATTTCCTCGTGATCTCCAGGCAGGGACCACACGTCTCTGGGCTGTTGAGATTATGTATGTAAAGCCGTCAGCCCGGGAGTGGCACACAGTAGGTGTTCAGCCACAGGAAATGATGATGTGAGGATCACAGATAGTATTTATTGCGTGCTGAAGTGTGCCAAGCACTAAGGGCTCTACATGGGCTCAAAGCATCCTCACCATGAACCTGTGAGGTTGGAACCATTACTCCCATTTTGCAGATGAGAAAACCAAAGTACCAAAAAGTTCCAGCAGAGCTACCGGGGAGACAGGAAGGTGGCCTGCGGAGCCCACACTCCACCACCGACTCTAAGGCCTCTGTTGCAAACCCATACCCTCCCCCCTCCCCGCCTGAGAGCTTGAGAACCATCCCTTCAATTGCATTTTGTTTCTTCTTTCTGCCTTTGTGCCCAAACACAAACCATGATTCTCAGGGCTTTGCAGTCATTAGAAAGACTTGGGGGCTGCCTCCTGAGACCTGGGGTTCTGGGATCTGCCTTCAGGGATGCTGTATCCCTGGGACTGGGGGGCGGGAGGGTAGGTAGGGATGGCATTTTCATGGAGGGCCTGAGCAGATTCTGACACAGGAAGTCAGCAACCCCCTTCAGAGTAGCACAGGGAGGTGGCCTGTGGTTTAGCTTCTGAGTGAGACAGGGGTTCAAGCCCCAGCTCTCCCCACCTTGACAGGTGGGGACTTTTGGCAGGGGTATTGTCTATATGAGCCCAAGTTGCCTTGTCTGACTCTGAGGTGGAGAGTCCTGCTTCCTAAGTGCGGTCTGTATGATCGTGACGTAAGACCTGTGAAAAGCTCAGGAGCCATCCTGACACACAGGAGGAGCTAAGTCAACGGGACCTTATGTACTGTTGTTATTATTATTAATTGTTATTGTTGTTGCCCTGGTATTGTGTGACCACCTCCCCCCAGCCTCACGTCCTCTGTACCTCAGTATCCTCATCTGGGTAGGAGACTTCTGAGGGTCATGTCTGAACATCCCAAGGGCGGCTTAGGGGAGGGCTGTACCCTCTGAAGAATAGCGGGGAAGAGAGGGATCGGGGGGCTTAGCAAGTGTCTCCCTCGGAGGCCCAAGCTGGGCCCTCAGGGGTCTGGGACAGAGAGGGTCTATTGATTCCACAGGAGCCTCTGGCGGGAGGGACTCAGACCGTGGTGACCAGGTCCTGGGCAGGGTCTGAAGCTCATAGTGGGGGCACCAGTGTCTCCACTGGCTGGTCCCACTGGCCCCACAATGTCCCTCCAGGATCCGAGGCTTCACGAACAGTCTGTCTGGACAAAGACTGAGGCCACAGTGCCCTCTGGTGGCCAAACCTTTGCATTCCAGGTTAGGAGACGAGAACAAACGTTGGCAATGGTTTGTTCCCAAGACTTGGGTGACAGGTAGACCCCAGAGCCCCAAGAGGTCAGAACAGGGACTTGCCCTGTGTCTGGAGAGGTCAGGGGGTCAGGACTTGAAAAGACTCTCCTGGAACTTCCTTCAAGGAGCCCTCCGTGACCCCCAGGCTGGGTTAGGAGCCTCCTCTGGGCTCCCATAGCCCCGAGTACCTCCTCTATCCCAGCCCTGCCGTCTGCCCTGGCTTCCCCCACCCTTGGCTGTCATCGTGTGGTGATGGGTCTTTTACCCCACTGGACTGTGAGCTTACGGCTTTGCCTGGGGCAGGGCCATCAGACACATCATTGCTGTGTCCCCAGCATGCCCACACCGGGCTGGGGACAGTGATACTCTATAGAAATGAGTGAATGTGCCTCTTAACCTCTCCCTTCTCTTTGCCTTGAAGCTTTAGCTCCAGACCCTCTGCTGGGAAGGTTTCCTTAATACAACCCCTCCCCGCCCCCCGCCCGCCAAGTCCCCTTCAGATGGTCCAAGTGTGTGGGAAGGTACAGCCTGGAGCCCGCATGACTCTCTCTCCCTGCTGCTTGCACTCTGCAGAGCCAGACAGTGGGGAGTGACATGGAGGATAATGACTAATTGATTCATTTATTTATTCAACAAATAATTGTTGAGCACCTGCTATTTTTCAGGCCCTGTTCTAAGCACTGGGGAGACAGCAGTGGAATGAACAACAATCCCTGCCTCATAGAGCTGGTAGTCAAAGGAGTGGAGACAATCAAGTAACTAAATAGGCCTACAACATGATGATGAGTTACGGTAAGTGTTGGGAGAAGGAGAAAGCTTTTAAGAGGACAGAGAGATTCTGGGGGATGCCATCTTAGCTGAGGTTGTCTCTGAGAAGGTGACATTCAGAAACCTGAATAAAGTGAGAGTTGGAGCCATGCAGGTGTCTGGGGGAGGAGCATTCTAGGCAGTGAGAACAGCAAGTGCAAAGGTCCTGTGGCTGAAGTGGGAGTGGAACGTTCCAGGAACAGGGAGGAGGCCAGTGCGGCTGGAGTAAAGTTAGACAAGGGAAGGAAGAAGGGCGGTGAGATCAGAAGTGTGATGGGGCCTGGGAACGGGTTTGAGTAGGGCCTAGAGGGCATAGTAATGACTTCGAATTTTTTTCTAAGTGTGAAAGAAGGGACTTCTCTGGTGCTGCAGTGGTTAAGACTCTGTGCTCCCAATGCAGGGGACCCGGGTTTGATCCCTGGTCAGGGAACTAGATCTCCCATGTATGCCTCAACTAAGAATTCTCATGTCACCACTGAAGAGCCCTCAAGCTGCAACTAAGCAGCCCGCCTGCTGCAACTAAGAACCAGAGCGACCAAATAGATCAATAAATATTTCTTTAAAAAGTGTGAAAGAAGCCACTGGAGGTTTTGAGCCAGAGCGCATTGTGATGCCAGCTGTTTCAAGCAGCTCACTCTGGCTGCCCTGGAGAGAATAGAAATGGACTGTGGGGGCGGGGCGGGGAGCAAAAGGGGAGCAGTACCAGGATGGAGGCTGTGAAGGGAGAAGAGTGGGTGGATTCTGGATCTATTTTGTGAATGTGGAGATAACAGCATTTGCTGATGGGTCTGGGGGGTGTGTGAAAATGAAGAGTCAAGGATGACTGATTGCACTTAGAACAAAATCCGTTTTCTTTATAATGGCCTACAAGGCCCGACACAATCTGGATCCTTGCTGTCTCCCTAATATTGTCTCCCTCCCCGCCTCCCCCACTCACTCTGCTCATTACACTAGCTTTCCCACTGATCTTTGAACTTGCCAAGCTTTTCCTCCTTCCCCTCCCATTGCACGGTGGCAGCTTCTCGGGTCTCAGCTCAAATGTCACCTCCTCAGAGCAGCCACTTTCTTTATAATACTTATCACTCTCTAAAATGATCAGTTTATTTGTTCGTTTATCATCTTTTTTCCTCCACTAAAAGGTCAGCTCCTTGAGGGCAGCAACTTTGCCTGTTGGTCACGCGGTATCCCCAGTGTCTAGAAGAGTGCCTGGCACATAGCAGGCACTTAATAAATGAACAAAGGCATTGATTAACCCCTGTGCTTGTTTACAGACTGGCTTACACAGAAGAGGCACCCAGACAAGTAGGCAAAGGCAAGAATACACGACAGACCCTGGGGTCATCCACACACCCAGGGGAGACCCAGAAGCCAGGGACCACCTTCTCCTGCGCGCACGCGGTGCCTGGAGGATGGAGAACCCGAGCTGGGGATGGAGCACCCCCAGGGAGGGGAAAGGATGCCTTGGGGCGATCCCAGCCCCGCCCTGTATCCCCAGTAGCCAATGGGCGTGCGGTCCTCCCGACGCCCCCTGGGACGTGTAGTCCGGACAGGGGCGCCCTCGGGCGCCGCCGAGCGCCCCTAGACTCCACGTCCCGTCGTGCGCCGGGAGGTGAGGGGATTGGCCGAGCCCCGCCCCCTGCCCGCCCCGCTCCGCTCGCGCCGCAGCCCCAAGAATGAATGAAATCGTAGCGCGCTGGGCGGCAGAGCGGGCGGCGCAGGCCGGGCTGGGCCCGCGCGCGGCGGCAGCGGCGCCCCGGGCCGGAGGCGGCCCAGCCGAGCGGGCCATGGCCACCGCCATTCAGAACCCGCTCAAGTCGTGAGTGTCCCCGCCGTCCACGTCCCTCCATCCCGCCCCCTACCCGAACCCTTCCCCCGCCCTCGCTGGGGAGGGGGACGCCGTGGGCGGATGGCAGTTGAATGTGGGCCCCCAGTTTGCGCCCCCCTCCCCTGGGGGGGCCCGCCACCCCCTGTCGCCCCCTGGGGCTGGGGGCGGGAGCCCCTCGGGGGTCGCGGGGGCGCCTCTTCTTTGTCGCTGTCAGTGAAGGAATGTGGCGCGAGCTGGGGGGTGGCGGAGGCCGTTTCCCCACCCAGAGTGGGGGTAGGGGCTTCCCTCTCCTCCTCCTCCCTCTCTCCTCCTCCGAGTCTCTGGGGGCGCCGGGCCTGCCCCTGCATGGGGCTGGGAGTACGTACGCCTAAGTCCAGACCTCAGTCTCCGGGGTCTCCACCATCCTTTCCCCTCATCAAAGCATCTTTCTCTCGCCCCCCCCCCCCTCTATCTCGGGGACCTCGGTCCGCGCGACCGCAGGGTGGGAGCTTAGACGTCGGGGGTCCCCGATTAGATCCCTGCTGTTTCCCTTCCCGGGTCTTCAGGACCTAAAGCCCCGACGCCCCGTTCAGCTTAGACCGTGGGATCCCTCCCTCTCTCCTCCCGTACACATCTAACGAGAGCATCTCTCATCTCCTTGGGGACTAGATGCCTCGGGAGAGGGTGCTGGGAGCGCCCTCAGCCTCCGGGGATTCCCTCCCTTTCTCCCTGTCCGCGTCCCTCCTCCGAGTGTTAGCTTCCTCCCGGGCCCACTGGCTGGGATCCTGGACGCCTGGGTTCAAACCTAGCTCTCTTCCAGCCCTCACCTCTCCTAGACATCCCTCGCTCTCTCCACCTCTCTTCTTCCCTCTCTCTCCATCTCTCTCGCTCCCTCCTCGGGATCCCGAACTCCTGGGTCCCAGCGCTCCCCACCCCCCTTCCCCAGGCGGTGACGGAGGACTGGGAGTGACAGGCGCGCGGCCGCTCCCGCTCTCCCTCCCGGGTTGGCGTGCGCGGCACTCCCCTCCCCCTCCTCCCCGGCCTGGTGGGGAGGAGGAGGAGGGCGAACGCCCGCGGCGCCGCACAAAGGGGCCTGGGCGACCTCCCCCACCCTTCCCCCAACCCCTGGCACCCGCCACCTTGACCTTGAGCAACTTATGCTGGGGGTGGTGGTGGAGGGGGGGAGGGGCCCGGGGGCGCCCCCCATCCCCCGCCCCCGCCCTCCAGAAAGGCTGTGCCAGGTGGCCGGACCGAAGGCGCCCAGTAGCTTCTGGTTTCAGGTGTGGGGGGGGGGGAGAGTTGGGAGAGGAGGGGGCTGAACCTTACAGGCACGCGCCTACAAGTGTGGCTTGGCGGTGGGCAAAGGGGGCTTGGAGGGCGTGTACGGGGCTGGGGGTCAGTGTGAAATGGTGTGTAACGGTGACAACACTTCTGTTTCCCTCTTACTCTAAGTCTTCCACACACACTTGTCTCCCCTATGAGGGACACCCTCAAAGTGGCTGGGACGGGGTTCCTGTGCAGGTCGGTGGATCTGTGGGTATCCAGACATCCTCACTCTGACCCTGGCCCAGACCTCTTGGAGGAGGTATGGGGCAGCCATTGCAGGGACATGAAGGCTAGAGTAAGCTTGGGGGTGGGAGCGCCAGCACCCTTCTTTGCTCTCACCTTCCTAGGGGTCTGCAGGGGTGAGGGCAGGGACTGGTTCCTGAGAGAATGCGAGTCAGGTCCCCTTGGGAGTGGGAGGTGGAGGGTGCTGCTCTCAGTTCTGACTGCCTGCATCATTCAAACCCCATCTTGAGCACTAATTTCCTGCCCTCCCCACCCGCCCCGAGCCTCAGTGTTACCACCTGTGAATTGGGGAATCATAACAGCTCTTATTACCTCATGGTGCTTCTGTGATGTTTGTAAAGCGCTTGGTACTGAGCCTGACACTGACTGAATGTAGTGATTATTATTGGTAGTATCAATACTGATTTCATTTGTGGTCCAGCTTCCACACAGGGCACTGGGGGATGGGGACAGGAGGATTGTTTGGGCAGGGGAGCTCAAGTGTGGGAGAGGGGTCTCTGAAGGTGACTAGGGGTAAGGAAGGGAAGGGAGACCCCTCTCCAAATGTCAGCTGCGGGTCAAATTGTGCTGGTGGACAAGGGCGTCCAGGGAAGTGATGGAGTGTTCTACAGTCAGGCTCCAAGCTGACCGAAACTGATGCACAGGTTCTGGGGTGGGGCAGGAGTGAGCGGGGTGTCTGAGGCTAGAGGTGTGGGGGGAAAGTGTAAAGGCATACTGGAAGATCTGTGAGGGTGGTGGAAGGTGAGAGATGAAGGTGGCAAGGGCACTCTGAGCTGAGCTGGCCTGTTGGGAGGAGTGGGGCAGGGCTTACCGTGGCTGAGATATGGGGTGGCCACTGTAGGGACCTGGAGGCCAGAGTGAGTGTCAGGACTTACTCCCCTTGCCATCTGCTCTAGGCCAGATGTGAAGCAGAGACCCACTCCCTGCTGTTTGGGTTTGGGAAGGGGGAGGTCAAGGCCTTACCTGGGGGAGATGGGGAAGAGCCTGTAGAAGGGGTCTAAGACTAGAGGTGTGTGTGTGTATGTGTGTGTGTGTGTGTGTGTGTGTGCGTGTGTGTGTGTGTGTGTGTCCAGAACTGACCATGAGTGTGGAAGACCCTGAGGGGGTCTCTCTCACCAGGGTGTAGGTGGGGGTGTCAAGTGACAAAAGAGGAGGTGAAGGCTCTTGTGCCTCTTCTGTCTGCTGGAGAGCCCCCTGGTGGACAAGGACATTGGTGGGCGTTTTCATCCATGCAAGGGCTCAAACTTGAACACGAACTTTGGATGGGGGCCGGGGGTTGGGGGGCGGGGTGTGTTCCAGGTGTGTGTGCATGGGACTTGGTGATCGTTGTGACTCAGTAGGTCAGCTCCTTCTCTGAGCATCCCTTAGGGTAGAGTCAGTGTGGGTGACAGTGGGAGAAAGGAGGTGACCACTTGGGTACAGACATCTGGGTGAGTGAATCCTTCTCTTAGTCCCACCTTCAAACAGCCACCAGGAGCTGAGGGCATGTGACTTCACCTCCTCATCTGGAAAATGGGGGTAGTGATAATATCACCCCAGAGGGTCAGGATGAGGATCAAGTGAGTTAATCTCTGTTAAAGAACTGTGCCTGGCACATGGTGGCTACTCAGTATATTTCTATTCAACAAATATTTATTAAGCATCTATTATGTGCCCAGCATTATTCTTTCTAATAATGGTTAGCTATCACCATTTTACATCTTAGTACATATCAGGTCCTCTTTGTGGAATGAATGAATTTATTGAACACCTACTACTTGCCAGGTACCTTTTAAAACACTTTACCCATGCTTACTCATTTAATCCTCACAATAATCCAATGAGCCATCATCTGCATTTTACAGATGAGGAAACTGAGGCCAGAAAGGTTAAGTCATTTGCCCAAGGTCACATGGCCACCAAGTGGCAGAGCCAGGATTTGAACCTAGGAGGTGTGGCTATATCTCCTAACTAGCACAGCAGCTGTCAGGCCTGGGAAGGGGTTGAGTAGGGCGGGGTCCTTGTGAGAGAGGCAGCTCCGAGGGGGACCGGAGAGGATTCTCCCGAGCTAGGAGGGACTAGGGGGAGGGGGAGGTGTCAGTGAGCCACGCGTTGGTGGGACGTTCGTGTGGGCACCTGTAAGGTGTCTCTAAATCTCCTGGCACTGAAGTGTTTGTGTGAGTGTAAATGTATGTGAGTCTGTGCGAAGGTGTGGGAGAGGGAGTGTGCGTGAGTCTGCGTGGGACGCTGTGAGTATACGTGTGAATGTGTGTGTAAGCTGCCGCGTGTGGGTGTGTGCGAGTCCAGGTGTGCATGGTTGAGTGTAGGCCCATGTGTGAGACTCGAGAGGTGTGCATGAGTGAGCGCGCGGGAGTGGTTGTGCGTGCCTCCGACCCCACCTCTGACCCGCTTCTCTGCGGGGTCCCGCCAGCCCCGGGCGGGGAGAACTACCACTCCCGGCATGGCCCGGGTGGGCCCACCCCGCCACCCTGATTGGCTGTGGTCCCGGTGCTCCCGCCCCCCGGGAATGAATGGATGGGCGGCCTCAGCGCCCGCCCGAGCGCTGGGAGGACCGGCCCGGCGGGGACCTGCTGGGGGCAGGACCCTGGGAGCAAGATGGCCACGGTCATCCCCGGCCCCCTGAGGTGCTGCGGGCCGGCGGGAGGCAGGGGAGGGCGCTCGAGCGGGTCTGCGCGGGCGTGTGTGTGTGTGTGTGTGTGCGGCGGCTGGGGGTGGGGCCGATGGGGTGTCTGGGGGGCTGTCACCGTGGGCCGGGCTGCGCGGGGTTGCGAATGTGTGTGACTGTGGGTCTCTGGCAAGAACCGTGTCCGACGCGCTGCTCCTGGAGGAGCGCGGAGTATGGGGAACTCGGAGCCCTATTGGCGCCCTCTTCGGGAAAGGGGGTCATGTCCCGCCCTGCGACCCCCGGAGTTGGGGAGAGGGTGAAATGGCCCGGGGGCCCGGGGGCCTTGGTAAACTTGAGTGAAGCTCACACTACCTTTGTCTTGGGTTGTGGAGCGTGTGTCACTTGTTCGGGTTCTGGGTTTTTTTTGGATATGTGTGTGGATATGCATTTAATTTCTTTCACATTCTACACTAGGTGTCTTTGGATATTTTGGTCTTTGAGTGTGTGTACATATCCTTTGAAACTCTGCATCATTTATGTTCTGTGTCTTTGGATATGTAGGTATGCATGTATTTATGTGCAAATTTTTGTGTGACTATGGGTGGATTTGTCCGTTTCTATGTTGTGTATGTGTGTATCTTTGTGTGTTTGAGTATGTGGGATTTTAGATGTTGGTTTCTATATTGTGTATCTTCGTGAATGTGTGTGTGTATCCTGTGTGAATCTGTGTGATTTCTTTGTATAGTGTATCTGGATTGTGTGTGTGTGTGTGATTTGTGTTGTGTCTTTGGATATGCGTGTAAGTGCATATGTGGGTAGTTTGTTTTTAACATTTTTTCTTTTTTAACATTTGTGTGTCTGTGTGTGTCTTCGGATGGATGAGTAAGTGGATGTGTCTGTGTGTGGTGTGTCATCTGTTTGCATGTTGTGTGTCTTTGTGTGGGTGATTGTTTATGTTGTGTGTCTTCGGATATGTGATATATATTTGTGCATGTATACGTGTGTGATCTGTCTGCTTCTACACTATGGGACTTGAGATACTTGTGTTTTTCAGTAGATATTTGTGGGAGCACATATGTGAGATGTGTCTGTTTCTCCTTTGTGAGTCTTGGGATATGTCTCTCTTTGTGTGTGAATCCTGTGTGACTATGTGCGACTTGTTTGTGTTGTGTATTTGGATATGTGCCTGTATGGATGGGTCCCGGTGTATTTTTATCTGTTTCTATACTGTGTGTATCCACTCCTTGGCTCAAGGCCTGCTTGAGTCCGGGTTGGGGGCTCCTGGGTCCAGGAGCGACGACAGCGGGGGAGAGGTGAGGTTGGAGGAGTCGGCCCACCCATTCCCCACGGGCGGGCTGGGGGAGGGGTGCCGGGCGACCCGGTGCGCCTGCCCTTGCTGACAGCCGCCCGCCCGCCCACCCGCCCCTCGCAGCCTAGGCGAGGACTTCTACCGAGAAGCCATCGAGCACTGCCGCAGCTACAACGCGCGCCTGTGCGCCGAGCGCAGCCTGCGCCTGCCGTTCCTCGACTCGCAGACCGGCGTGGCCCAGAACAACTGCTACATCTGGATGGAGAAGACCCACCGCGGCCCGGGTACGGCTGGGAGGTTGGGGGTGGGGCGGGGCGGTGGCTTCGCGGCCGCGTTCTTACCGCCCTTCTCACTCCAGGTTTGGCCCCGGGACAGATTTACACGTACCCCGCCCGCTGTTGGAGAAAGAAACGGAGACTCAACATCCTGGAAGACCCCAGACTCCGGCCCTGCGAGTATAAGATTGGTGGGTGGAGCTCCGTCCTGTGCCTTCGGTGGCCCCAGTGGGTGCCCACAGCACACGCTGATAAGTGTGTGGTGATGCCGGTGTGCGTCTGAGCATTCGCCCTTATTTCCCTCCTAGCCAGTGTCTGAGTGGCTGGCTGTGTCTGCCGTTGTGTGTCTGGGTGTCGTCCAGAGATTCTCCAGTTTTCCCTGAGTGACTGAGCTTTGGACTGTATCTTATCCTACTTGGGCCCAGGCGTAGTTCAGGACAGAGTGGTATCTGTTATGTGTGTCCAGGTGTATCCAGTCTTTGTATCTCTTCCCTTGTGAGCTGGGATGTATCAGAGTATCTGACTGTATTGCTTCCTGTGGATGTCTGAGTGTGTCTGGATGTATCAGAGTGTCAGGTTGTAACTCTTTCCCTTTGTAATAGAGTGTATCTCAGCGTCTGTGTCTTTTTTCAGGTGTTTCCAAGTGTATTAGAAGGTTTGTTTCCTCTTGTGTGTGGCTGGTCTATCAGAGTGTCCAGCGGTTCCTGATGTGGGTGTATCAGGGGGTCCGGCTCTCTCTTCCTTTGAGCGCCAGATGCTTTGGAATGTCTGGGAGAATCTCTTCCCTGAGTGTCTGTCTGGTGTATTAGATGTATTTCTGCACGTGCGCTGCCCTATGAGTGTCTGGTTTTATCACTTCTTGAATGTGTCCAGTACTATTAGAGTCACTGGCTGTTTCTCTTCCCCTGTCCAGGTATATCCAAGGATCTGTGTGGGTCCAGGTGTATTGGAGGGACTGTCTCTATCTCCTGTGTGTATGTGTATCCACCTGAGTGACTCTCTCTAGGTGTGTCTCTATCTCCCCTAAGTATGTTCAGGTGTTTGCTAGGGTCTGGCCGTGTCTTCCCCATGTGGTCTGGGTATATCTGGTGGTCTAATGTTCTCTTTTGTAGTGTTGCTGGGTGTGCCAGTATACCCAGGGGTCTGGATATGTCTCCTCCATGGGTCTGGGTATATCTGAGTGTCTGGGTGTATCTCTTCCTTTGTGTGTCTGGCTGTCTCAGATGACCTGTATGTATCTCCTCTGTGTATGTCCATGTGTGTCCTGTTTGAGTGTCTGCTCTTTCCAGGTGTGAGGGTCTGGGTGGGGTCTCCTACAGGTATGTATGTAGTTATATAGGAGGGTCTGGGCATGTCTCCCCTTGAGTGTGTCCAAGTGGCTCTGAGGGTCTGGCTGTGTCTTCCCCAGGGTCTGGGCATCCTTGGAAAGGATGTATGGAAGTATTGTTGGAAGGGTGTATGGTTGAATCTTTGAGTCGATTGCTGGTTGAGTGTGGGAAAGCCTCTTCCCTCTAGCAAAGAGCATGATTCTCCAATCTGGGCAGTTTGAGGAGTCCTCCAGGAACAAGTTCTCCACTTGACACCCTCCTCCCTTGTCCCCAGACTGTGAGGCGCCATTGAAGAAGGAGGGCGGCCTCCCAGAAGGGCCGGTCCTTGAGGCTCTACTGTGTGCTGAGACAGGGGAGAAGAAGATAGAGCTGAAGGAGGAGGAGACCATTATGGACTGCCAGGTAGGATCCCCCCACCCCCCCGCCAGGGGCCACAGCTGCCCTCTCACCCACCCCTGTCTCCTGCCCCAGCCCATCCTGCTCCTGCTCTGAAATCTCCCCTGGCTCCCTAGGGCCTTTGGGCATCCTAAGTCTCTATTCTTCCACACGTCATCTCTTTTTTGGAAGACCTCCTGACTTGCCCTGACACCCCCAGTCTCCGGTCCGCCCAGAGCCACCCCACCCGCAAAGCAGAACAATACCCCATTTTCTTAACCCCAATCTCCCTTCTCCTGGTGCCCAGAAACAGCAGCTGCTGGAGTTTCCACATGATCTTGAAGTGGAAGACTTGGAGGATGACATTCCCAGGAGGAAGAACAGGGCCAAAGGAAAGGTATCGCTCCAGAGTTTCTCTCCATCACTCCTCCGCTCAATGCAGATCCCATTTACTGAGTATGTACAATGTTCAGACCCTGCCCCAGTTTGACCTCATTTAATCCGCAGAGCAGCCTGAAGGGATAGGGGATTTTTATACCCATTTTACAGATGAGGAAATTGAGGCTTGGGTCTATTAAACCATTTGCAGAACAGAGATTGTACAGTGGGTTAGAACTAGCTTCATACCTGTGTCACGGATGAGGAAACTGAACCTTGGAGAGATCAAGGGAGTTACTCAAGGCCCACAGCTAGGAAGTGGCAGAGCTGCGATTTGACTTTCAGGCCCAAATGATGAAAATTCTCTTAGTTCCCTCCCTTTCTTGGCCCCTCACTCATGCCTTTTCCCCTAGGCATATGGCATCGGGGGTCTCCGGAAACGCCAGGACACCGCTTCCCTGGAGGACCGAGACAAGCCGTATGTCTGTGATAGTGAGTCTTTCTGAAGAGGGGGGAAGAGAGAGAGAGTGGGGCCCAGAGACCTCTCCCCTCCTGGCCCCCTCCCTTCTGTTCTGGACCCTGGTTGGGGGATGTTCAGGCCTCTGGCAGAGGGTGGAGGTGTGATCCTGGAGGCCAGGGCAGAGGCGGGCTGGGAGGGCTGACCGGCCCTTCCTGCTCACTCTCCAGTCTGTGGGAAACGGTATAAGAACCGGCCAGGGCTCAGCTACCACTACACCCACACCCACCTGGCTGAGGAGGAGGGGGAGGAGAACGCCGAACGCCACGCCCTGCCCTTCCACCGGAAAAACAACCATAAACGTGAGCAGGCGGGCAGGGCGTGGGGTGGTGAGGGGCCCTGGCAGTGGGGGCTAAGGAGCCTGGGAGGGAGGGGGCACATTAGACATTTCTGGAAAATCTCCAGCTCAGCGGTCCCCTCCCCCCACCAACCATGGGGGATGCTGGCTCTGAGGTTGCCATGGCAACCAACCATCTCTCCCTCGCTCCTGGCCGGGCATAATATTTCTGGGTCTGATTTATTGTTTCAATTAGAGCTTGGGGAGGGGGGGTGATAGATGACTCCCCTCCCTCCCTGCCTCCCTTTCTCCCTTCTCTGCTAAGCTTTGGCCGAGGGGCAGGGTCCGTGGCCTGGGAACCCTTGGTGACCGCCCATGCCAATCCGGTGCCAACCCTGACAGCTGAGGGATGGGGGAAGGCTTGGGGGGGAGGCTCTGCCAGTGGAAAAACCATCTTTCCACCCACCCCTCGGTGGGAGAGGGCAGTCTCTTCATCCCATCCCCACCACACACCGAGGCACCTCTGTGTTCAGAATTTTCCTTCCAAATGTCTGTTTCCATACCAGATCTCAGCCCGTGGTGTCCACCTAATTGTTGTTTAGTCGGGGCTTAGTTGGGGGGGGGGGGGCTGTCTGGTAGAAGTGTGTATGGGCGGGGAAGCAGGGGGCTCTTCCTAAAGCTGCATCCGCCAGGTTTTTACCTAATAAAGAGGATGTATCAGTTGCCCTCAAGGAGTTGGGGGGGTCCTGATGAGAATTATTTGGGCTCCCCCAGCTCTCTTTTGCTACTGGCCACAGCTTGGGGTAGCTGCTCCCTCCCCCCACCTCCTCCATGCCTGGAGAAGGGGTCCACCCCTTTGGCTGAGGCTGGGGGCAGGGTGGAGCTTTGCCTATGGTGAGAGCCCCTCTTTCTGTCCCCCCATCCCCAGAGTTTTACAAAGAATTGGCCTGGGTCCCTGAGGCACAGAGGAAACACACAGGTAGGGACGCCTCCCTCTGCCCCTACTTCTGCAGCAGCCTTTGACTGGGTGTCCCTGCCTCCCATGCCAACCCTTGCCTGCTCTCTTTCAGCCAAGAAGGCGCCTGATGGCACTGTCATCCCCAACGGCTACTGTGACTTCTGCCTGGGTGGCTCCAAGAAGACGGGGTGTCCCGAGGACCTCATCTCCTGTGCCGACTGTGGGCGATCAGGTGATGCCCCCACCTGAGGTTTCTGGGGGCCGCGGTGGAGAGGACTCCAGGAGTCCAGATCTGGAGGAGAGAAGGCAGAGGAGGGAGAGGACTGGTGGTGGGGTATGCAGAGCATCCCAGGGGCACTGAGGCTAAACAGCCGACTCGACTGCTGAGGATTGTGGGAAACTGAGCGGGGTCAGGGAGGCTCTGGGAACAATGGGATGCGGGAGTCATGGCACTGTGGGTACCGGCATGTGCTTACCTGGCGTGGGGAACAGTGAAAGATGGTTGCCAAAACATCGTGGGTAGTGGGCTGTGATAGCGAGTCATGGATTGCCGCTGCCTGGGCGCTGTGGCTCACAGAGGGTGCTTGCCATTGCCATGGAGCTGTGGGTAATAGACTGTGGTTTCCCGAGGTGGACTTGTGGGTAATAGATGGTGGTTGCCTCAGCACGGTGGCTAATGAATTGTGGTTGTCATGGTATTATGGGTAGTGAAATATGGTTGTCATGGCGATTGGGTGCAGTGGAAGGTGGTTGTCGTGGCCTGGGGTAGTGGCTGCGCATCTGTACTGGGGTGGTGGGCTGACCAGTGGGTTAGCACCCTGCACAGTCATGTGGGTAACAGTGTGGTTGCTGGGGCTTCGTGTGTAATGGGCTTGGGTTGCAGGGAAAACCAGGGTGTGGGGACCCCTCTGTGGAAGGCGGTTGCCATGGCATTGTGGCTGGGAGACTGTGGTTGCCACGTACTGCGGTTAATGGAATGGAACCGGTTGGCCATTCTGCTGTGGGTAACGGAATGTGGCTGCCCTGGTGCTGTGGGTGGTAGAAAGTGGTTGCCACGGCACCGTGGGTAATGGAATGCGGTTGCCATGGTGTCCTGGGGAGCAGAGTGTGGTTGCCATGGTGGCTGGGTAGGAGACTGGTGGCCAGGGCAGCATTGCCTGCGGGACAGGGTCTGGGCACCGTGGGCTGGGTGGGGTCGGGCTGTGGGCCTTGTGAGCTAAGGATGGGGGCTGAGCCATTGCTTCCCCGGGGGTCAGCAGCCACCAGGGGCACGATGACCCCTAACTGCATCCCTGCCCCTTGGCCCCCAGGACACCCCTCGTGTTTACAGTTCACGGTGAACATGACGGCAGCTGTGCGGACCTACCGCTGGCAGTGCATCGAGTGCAAGTCCTGCAGCCTGTGTGGCACCTCGGAGAACGACGTGAGTGCCCACGTGCCCCCTTCCCCGGGACATGCCCCCAGGCGGCCTCCTTTCCCTGGAGCCCCCTCCCTGGTGAACACCAGTAACCTGTATTATGATTATTGTTAGTGTCCATTAATTGAGCCCGGCACTTAATACTCTTCACTCTCTGACTCCTTCCAACTGCCCTGAGGTAGGTGATCTCGTTCCCACTTCACAGAGAAGAAACCGAGCTCAGAGAGGGGACTAGACTTGCCCAAGGTCACCCAGCCAGGAAAATGGTACGGCTGGGACCTGAACCCACGTCCATGACTTCCAGACCATCTTCGTGTCATTTTAAGTGTTCCACAGAGTCCTATAAAACCTAAACTACAAACTGCAAACCGACAGTCCTCAGGGGTGTTTTGCTCGTCGCCCAGTAGGGTTTTGCAAAGATGACCTTCTCAGAGCCCTTTGTCTTGCAAGGGACCGCCTCCCCCAGCCCCTTTGACCTGGCCCCTGCCCCCGCCCCCCACCCCGGTTTCTGGTGCCCGTGCCCCCAGGGTGCCAGCTGGGCGGGTCTCACCTCCCAGGACCAGCTGCTGTTTTGTGACGACTGCGATCGGGGTTACCACATGTACTGCCTGAGTCCCCCCATGGCGGAGCCCCCGGAAGGTGAGAGAAGAGGAGGGCCGGACACGGGGGTGGGGTGTTGGACAGTGGTTGTCCTGCTGTCCGCTGGGTGGGAGGGGGTCGGGGCAGCCCTGCCCAGACCTGGGCCTAACTCCCTGTCCTCCGGCCGCGCCACAGGGAGCTGGAGTTGTCACCTCTGTCTTCGGCACCTGAAAGAGAAGGCCTCTGCCTACATCACCCTCACCTAGGCCTGGCTCTGGCTCACCTGGACCTCTGGGGTGATGCTTGCCTACCTGCCTCTTGGAGCTCCTCCAGTCTCTCCCCATCCTTAATGCCCCACAGTGGAAGGGGCCGGGGGTGGGGGGAGCCTGAGAGGGGGCTGGGTCACCCCTCCCCTCTGTGCAAGTGGAATGTTTGCCCTGTGGGTTGGTGGGCCCAGCAGGGTCCTCTCCCTTCCTCCTTCCTGCCTCACCCCTTCGCAAATGGGCACCAGGGGCTTCTGCTCCCCTCAAAGCCATACCCCGCCTCTGGGCGGGCACGAGGGGTGGTGGATGCCAGCTGGGGGCACGGACAAAGCCTTTTTCTAAAGAAAAAGTCAAAAAGTTAAAAAAAAAAAGAAATTAATATATAACAAAGAGTCCTATAAGGTCTGGCTGGGTGGAGGGGGCACTGCTGAGCGCATCTACTGGGCACCAGTCTACGCCAGTTTCCTGCCTGGCGGCTCCTCCCCCCAAGTCCCTGGCGTTGCAGCTCTCCCACCTCCCCACCCAAGGTGGGCGCCATTCCCCCCTTGTGCCCAGGGCAGGAGGGTGTGGTGTCCACCCCCGCCCTCTCGGTGCCCACTGTGGATACTGCATGATGTGAACCACGGTTTTGAACTCCGTTCCTGCTCCCTCCCCGAGAGCCCCGCCCCGAGCCCACTCCGTGCCTGCCTTGGCAAGGCGGGCCCCTGCCCAGCGCCTGCTGGAATGAGAAGCACAGACTCTGCAACGGACTAGATTTTCCTCCTCCCCCCGCCCCGATTCCCTACCGGCCAGGCCGGGCTGCCCCCTGCCACCTTCGCTGGCCATTTTCGGGTTGCGAGGGGGCGTGGTTGTTTCTTGTGGTTGTGTGTGTTTGTTGTTCGGGTTTAAAAAAAAAAGGGAAATTGAGACTGCAAGTGGGGGAGGTGGTGGGTTTGGGGGGGTCTCCCCCGATCCAGGCGTGTCCCCCCTTGTAAACGAGTCTCCTTTATTGCCTGCCTCTGCTGTGAATTAACTTGTTCCGTGTATTAAACTGGGCCTGACCCCTCTGCCCACGTCGTCTGCCTCGTTCTCCAGGCTGGTTTGGGGCATCACCAAGAAGGGGAGATGGGGCCTCACTGGGGGAGAAGCAACCGAGGTTAACAGCTGGAGCTGGCCCTACGTCCATCTCCCTCCAGCTCCCCTCTGCACCCCGCCTTTCTCTGGCTTTGTCCCATCTCCTCCCTGCCTCGCTGGAAAGGAGAAGGGGGGGGATGGGGTGGAGGGGGCTCCCACCCAGCCAGCTGTGGTTGCCCTGGCAACGGACTGCTGCAGCTGCAACGGGGAAACAGTGAGGAGGGAGGCGGGAAGCTGGGGACTGGGGGAAGGGAAGGGATGGAAAGATGAAGACTGGGGGCTGGCCCCTCCCCTCGGGGCCATTGGTAGGGATCAGGGGTGCCAGGGGCGCCTCACCCTACACCCAGACGTCACCTGGAGCTCCCTATCCCGATGTGGGGCAAAGAACAGAGGGGAATGGGCCATGGGATATAGATCCAGGGACATTAGGAGGAAGACAGATTTGGGTGAGGTGAGGTGAGGAGTGAGAACCAGGACACAAGAACAGTCAGGAGAGAGACAGACAGGAGTCACACATTTATAGAGAATGAGAAAAAGAGCAGGAGAGGGAAGACGTAGACCTGGAGGGAGATGTAGATGAAGAGGGCCAGAGGAATTATGGTGGAAGAGGACAGAAGAGATGATTTAGTGGGAGAGAGGCAATAATAGTAATAAAAAACAGCAGACACATGGGGAGAGACAGAGGAGGAAGTACAGGGATCTGGAGAGAGAAGCAGAAGAGATTCCATGTGGGGAGGCAGGGAACCAGGGCACGTAAAATAGGAGAGCGGAAGAGAGACTAAGAGCGGGGAGGCACATTTGGGGAGAGAGATGAAGTTAGGACCCAGCACAGGCGAAGTCCTAGGACAATGCCACAGAGATGAGATTTCAGGGGAGAGGACACAAAGAATTTAGGGAGACAATAGAAAAATCTGGAGAGAGCCAAGAGCGGGAAGGGATTCAGAGCCTGGGTGAGGGGAGAGCCAGAGGCGGGGTGGGAGGCAGAGGAGACTGGGGGAGGGTCGAGGAGGGCGCCCGGGCCCGCGAGAGGGGGACAGGCAGAGGAAGTGGAAAACTGGGGCAAGATGGGGAAGGGACGAGCAGGGCACAGTTCAGGCGAGAGCGCACGCTGGCGTGTGCGAGTTGTGGGGTGTTGGAAGTTGGTGTGTGTCACAGGCGCCAGGAGAGGATGTGAGAACAGCTTGTTCCGCCGTTTCCGTGCTGGAGGGGGGAGGGCAGCATGGGTTGAGGATGGGGCCTCAGGGAGGGCGGAGACAGGGAGAGTGTCTGGAACACTCTAGAATTTTTAGGAGATGTGGAAATAGCTGGTCCACCTCCTCTGGAAAAAGGATATATAACCGTTTTGGAAAAAGATTTGTTGTGTGTGTGGGGGGCGGGTGTGTGTGTGCGGGAGAGTCTAGGTTACAGAAGCATCAGGTTTGAGCACGGAAACGGTAAACTCCATCACAGGTAAATGTCTAGGTGGGCCAGAAAGCCCCGGCCGTGGGGCCAGCCCTGTCAAGAGAAGGCGCTGCTTCTCAGATCCAGGTGGAGCTGGACCTAGACTTCCCACCAGAAGCCGGACCTTGGGATTCTCACATGAAATTTCGAGGTCTGGAAAATAAGTTTGACCCCGATCCCCGGGTCAAACTGCGAAAGTGTTTCGCCAGGGCAGCTGCAGATCTGGGCCCAGGAGTTTAAGACCGCTCCCAGCTAGGAGAGCCCCTAGGCCCGGGGCTGAGGTCCCCGGCTGTGTCGGTCTCTTTCCAAGACACCTCCACCTCTCCCCGAGCCCCCGGGGCCTGGAAGCAGGGGCTGCTCTTCACTCCAAACCACCGACTGGCTGACTGGCAGAGGGAGGCCTACTCCCACCGAGGGCGGGTGCGGTGCCAATGAGCTGGCACCGGCAGGGTGTGGCCTGGGGCGACAGCCCCGCTCAAGGAGGCGGGGGCCCCTCAGTGCCGCGTCTTGCTGCAGAGGACAGCGTTACCAAGCTCGAAATCCAGCTTTCTTTCTGTACCATCTCCAGATTTTAAAAAGTTGACCATTAATTTTAAAACCAACACAACTCCATGGGCCGGGTCTGGCTTTTAGGCCTCAAGTATATGAATTCTGAGGTAAAACCTTCCTCTTTTTAACTTAGGAATTTCTTACATTCGGGGGAACTCCCCGGCGGTGCAGTGGTTAGGGACTCCGTGCTCTCACTAAATTTCTTACATTCTGAGTGTTGGGTTTCTGTCACTTGGGTTTCAAGAAAAAGAGAATGGTGCTCCCTGGTTCTTAGGGGTGTGCGCGTGCATCGGGGGTGGTGGTGACGGCGTTTGGGACAAGGGGGACAGGAGGAGAGGGCTGACGCTGGATCACACCCGCCTCTCAGGGAGTCCAGGCAGCTGCTCAGCTAGCGAAGACACAAGCCACTTCTATGAAACATTTATTTCCTTTAAAACCTCCAGAAACATGCCAGAAAATCTCAAGACGGGGATGGGGTGGGGGGTGGGGGGAGATAATAAAGAATAAAAAAATCCAAATGAAACAAATCAACATAAAAAAAAAACCCTGCTGCTATCTTCAGCCATCAGATAGAACACCAAACTCAAATTAAATGTGCTTTGCAGAGATCCTTTAGAAATAACAGACAACAAAACCCCAAATCATAATTTACACTTGTCGATGTACATGATTAGGTCCCCAAAATGATTCAAATGATCTGAAGATGGGAGGAGACAACTTAAAAAAACAAAAACAGGTGGGGGAGGGGTGAGCCCCAGGTTAGGGTCTGAGGAAAGGGTGGGGTGGTAAGTGGTCCTGGAGAACCCTCCCCAAAAGGGACCCGGGAAGAGGGGCAGAGACATCACAGTAGCTGGCCAGGGCTGAGGACCCGGCAGGCAGGCGCCCCTCGCAAACCACAGGTGAGGGAGAGGAGATGGCAGACCTGAGGGCCTTTCTCGCGGGACTGCAGTGCTGCCGAGGGGCCAGAGGTTGATGGCAGGGAGGCACGACGAGGGTCCTTTTCTCTTGCTCCTTCAACGTCTGTGTCCTGTGCGGTCGGTCCCCAGAGCCTCCTTCCCTGAGGTTTCCGGCCCCAGGGAGGAGGCGGCGGGGTCTCCGGACGGGACTGGACCGCCCGGTGCTGGCCCCCCGCCGGAGCGAGCTGCTCTCAGCTGGGCCCCCCGGCCCGCCCGCCCACCCTGCTTTCGTCCCCAGCCCACGGGGGACGCGCCTCGGTCCTCAGCTTGAGGTTGGGGGAATCCACAGACTGTGGCCGTACAGACTTGTTCTGGCGCAACTCCACATGAAAAAATAAATATATATATATATTTTTTTGTTTGTTTGTTTTTAAAGGAAAAAAAGAAACTGTTTCCTGGGTGAACAGCGTAGTACCACACCGGCCTGGCTGCCTGGCCAGCTGCCCCTTATTGCCTCGAGAGAACCAGCGTCTTGTGGGGTTAGCACAGCAAGGCGCTCCCCGGGGAGCACAGTGACGGTGTCCGACGTTGCTGCTGCTACTGCGGGGCCTACGAGATGGGCCGAGGGGCTTTGCAAAGGGAAACAAAAGCGGAGAGGAGAGGGAGGCTGCCTCCCTCCGGCCCGGACCTGACGGCTCCGTGGAGCCCCTCCCGGTGCCCGGGAGGGGCCCGGGGCTGACGGAGCTGGGGAGGAGGAGGGGTGGGCTGTGCCGGCTCTGCCGCTGGGCCTGGCCGGGTCAGCAGCTCGCAGGCGGAGGGGCCCAGGTGCCGTGGCCTCTGGCAGTCAAGGGACTGGTAGACAAAGGCTGGAGAAATGGTCCCGAGCGTGCAAATACCTTCCCCCTCAAAGAAGTTAACTGGATGCTGGGGTTTCCTCGCTCCACCCTGGGACCTCCCAAGACAATAAATGAAACTCTAAGAAAGTGCTCCTGGTTGCTTTGTGGAGGATAGGGTAGGGAGGGGGCAATGTCCATGCTTTCTGGAGCCAGTGCACCAGGGACCAAGAGCCCTGGCCCACTTCCACGCCGGCCCGCACCTCTCCGGGCGTGAGGGGAGAGCGGGATGGTTTCCCGCTGTGATTTCTCAGGCAGGGGTCTTGGCCCCATAAGCCCAGACGCTGCTGTACGTGGTGAAGAAACCCGGTTCGGGGATTCCTGGAGCTGTGGGGTTTGGAGACTCACTCCTGCCCTCCACCCCCTTCCTACAGCTTCCAGTGGCTTGGTCCTAGGAAGAGGCTGGATGTGGATGGCAGGATGGGACCCTGGGGGCAGTGTGGGCGAGGCCCGGCCCCCAGGAACCTCAGATGGCGGCTCAGAGGGAGACCACGTCGCCCTCTGGGGCTCGAGGGCCAGGAGTGGACCCCAGCTCACAGCCCCGTGAGGTATCCCTCAGGTCCCACTGCCACCCCGAGTGTCCGTGTCCACGGGAGGGCGGTGGGGCCCTGGCTGCATAGCTCGGTCACACCTGCAACCAGAAGCCGGGCTGAAGGAGAGGACAGCAGGAGCCCCCGGTCTGCCCAGGCGGAGGGGGGCAGGTGGCAGCCTCCCCACCTCAGAGTTCCTTCTTTTCCCTGCAGAAGATCTCAGCGAACTTGCGTAGCTGCTCGCTGGCGGCCTGGGACTCCTCCTGCAGCCGCTGGTTGTTCTGCCTCAGGCTGGCCACCTCCGACTGCAGCACCGCCTTGTCTTGCTTCTCCTGCGGGGGCGGGGGCTGGCATCAGCGGGCGCACCTTGAATGGCTCCCCGGGGCCTGCGAGCCCCGCTAGGCCGTGGTTTACAGCCAGGCTGCCAGGGTTCAAATCCCAGCTCTGCTTCTCAACAGCTGAGCAACCTTGGGCAAGTCTTGGCCCCAGTTTCCTCCGCTCTAAAAGGGGCAGTTGAGAGGTCTCCCTGAGGTCACATGTGTTGAGCTCTTAGAACACAGCCTGACGTGCAGTAACTGACAAGCATCACTAATTAGGAGCACCTCATTCCACACTCACAGCCACCCAAGGGCTGGGGACTGTTGTTACCCCCATTTTCCTGGAAGAGGAGACCGGACCTCACACAGCACATAGGGGGCTGGGATGTGGCTGCAGGGCTGCCCTTCCAGGACAGTGTAAGATGCTCAGGCAGCGACCTGTGCAAGGTCACACAGCATCAAGTGGTCGGGTGGCATGTGAACCTGGGCCCCTATGACCCCTGTGCTCGAGACTCCCATGTTCGACTCGGCCACCTTTTGGCTTTTTACCCAAACATATAAAACGACAAGTGAAAGTCTCTTCCACTCTTATTTCCCCTCACTCTTCCACACCCTGGAGATAAGTACAAGGAACAATCTCGAATGTCGCCTTCTAGATATCCCTCTGACCCACAGCTCTTAAACATTTTTTAAGTATGATGATGTTCTAGGAAACGGTCTTGCCACTTGCTTAATCTTCTGCTTGAGTTACTGGACTTCTTTTGTATGTTAGTAAATATACAGATCTCTGTGACTACTTTAATTGCCTGCAGACCGTTCCGCTGCGCGGGTGTCCTGTCATTTATATAACCATTCTCCTGTCGACGGACAGCTGCACTGGCTCCAATTTTTTATCGCCAGCGGTGCAGCAGCGAACATCCCTGCTCATGGGTCTCTTCGTGCCCGTGCTTGAAATTCTGTTGGACAAGTTCCCACAGTGAAACTGCTGGGTCGACAAGGTACGCAATTACAGTTTTGACAAATATTGTCCGACTGCCCTCCGAAAAGGCTGGGCCAATTTATTCTCCCGCCAAGAGGGTATGAGGGTTTCTCTGTGTGCTTTGCCAGCGTTCCCTACTGTCACTTTTTACTCTTCACTCATGACTACATTCGAAGCTGGGCGGCCTCCCCTAGAATAGATGGGGTGTGGGTGGGGACGGGTGCCTCAGCCTCGCTGTCCCCCGCCACCCTCCGGGGGGGCCTGGAAGTGCAATGGGGAGATGCGCGCCACGTGAGGCGGCCGCTTGGCGGCCTTACCTTCTGGAGGTCCGTGTGCAGCTGTTTCAGCATCACTTCCAGTTGGTACACCTTGCCTGTCAGATCCAGGGGTGGCTCCTCACTGGAAGGACAGGGGGCAGGGTCAGGCTCTTGGCCCACAGCTGGGAGGAGCCTGGGATACAGGCTCCCTCTTGTCCCTGAGGCTCTGGGGAGTCCTTTTCTTGCTGGAGTCCCAAGGGATGCCTGGAGAAGGCCACGCTCCACCTGGCGAGGGCACGTCTGTGGATGTGGATGTGGGTCGTGGGAGCACCAGGCCTGCTGTGTGTGCACTCCTCCAGAGGATGGACCATGCGTGTGCTTTTGGGAGAAACTCCCCCCACGTATGACCACCTCAGGTGGCACAGCACAAAGAACAGCCCCCACGCCCATCCACCGAGCCCCCGGCAGGCCCGAGCATCGCTCCGGCACATGGGGCATGTAAGTGGGCAAACGGACGGGAGAGCCCGACTGGTGGACAGGACCAGTAACGATACGGACAATAACAGCCCCCCGCTACCGAGAGCCCACCCTGTACCGTGTGAGGTTTCACCTAACAGGGCGGACGGTGGTTTCCCCACTGGACAGAGGGGAAACCCAGGCTCAGGCGGGGGCTCTGCACCCAGGACCCCAGCCTGTGGCTCCCCCTCTGTGCAGATTCCCCAGGCCTGGGCCCGCCTGGCCCCTGCAGAGGAGGGCAGGCAGCCGAGAAGGCTCCACTGGAAGCTGTGGGAACGCACACACCCGGTAGGGATGCCGGGGTCGGGGAGGCGCGTGGGCTGCAGCAGATGAGAGGGAGACGGGGG